TGTGCACGGCCTTATGCAGCTCCTCGGCGTCCTGAGCGCCACCTTCAGGCGGCTGCTGCGCAGCTCCGTCGACTTCACCACCTTGGTCCAGGCCGTCGTAAGCTCTGTCACCTGGCGCGGTGGAGAGAGGGCACGTCAGATCCTGCGCACTGTGTCCCAACCAGCCATCTCTGTGGTCTGCTGGGAAAACTGAGGCGTGCTATGCTATCTTTGGGCCACATGGAGATTTGCCATTTGATAAAAAGTTAAAAGCATCAAAACAGCTTGCTCAGAACCTCACACTTGAAGACCGTTCTGCTCTTGATTGAAAATGCAACCAAGGTGCAAAGGTGCGAAAACATGAGGGAATTTCACAAATATCACCAATCACCCTCATGTGGTCTAACTTAACTTTTCCTACAGGCGCAGCTACAAGTAAAACACGACCTCGCACAGATCTCTCAGTATCGTTCAATGCCGCGAACGCTAGCCGAACCGCCCACTGCATGGACCGCAAGCACAACCGCAGCATTGCACAATGCCACTAACGCGACGCCACTGACCTGCGTCTTGATGATGGCCGCGTCCTTCTTGTCAGCCTTGCTCATCAGCTCATCGGCCGTCTTCTGGACGGACTGCACCTGGGTGCCACGGCCCTCCAGCTCCTGCTCGAAGGTCTTGTGCTGCTCACAGAGCGCAGTCACAGTGTCAAGGTCACCGTGCACCGGCGCGTTGTCGTCCAGGGCGGCGTCCCGCTTCCGCAACCACTCCAACAGCGCCTCCAGTGCTTCCTTGAACTGGCCGCTGAAGAGCAGCGCCTCCTCCAGCTTGCGCTGGCGCGCCACCGACTGGTTGCAGCAGGCGTTCCACTTGTCCTTGAGCTCGTTGAGCATGTCGCGGATGATGGGCTCCTCGATCTTGGGCGCCTTGTCCTTGATGAGCGCGCGACCCAGCTTGATAACGTGGTCGTAGCTGGACTGCTTGCCACCGAGCGCCCGCTGGAACTCGCGGTGCTTATCGAGCAGCGCACGGATCTTGTTGGGGTTGTTGCCGAGCGAGGCGTCGGCACTCTCCAGGGCCTGCAGCGCCTCGTCCATCCAGCCGCAGAGGTCGGCCCAAGCGTCGTGGAACTCCTTGGCCTCCTTGTAGCCGACGTCGAGTGCGCGCGTGCGGTCGGCCGCCTTGGAGACGACGCGCTCCCAGCGGTGCTGCACCGACACTAGCATGTTCTTGATCAGGATCACGTCCTGCTTCTGGGAGAAGTACTTGAGCTGTGTGCCCTTCTTGTCCAGGTTGAGCATGTACTCACGATGAGAGCTTACCTCCTTCTGGAACTCTTTGTGCTCGTCGATCTGTTTGATGATGTTGTCCATGACGCGCGAGACGGGCTGCAGGTTGGACAGCACATTCTCGGACCCCGTTAGCCAGTCGACGAACTCCTGCAACGCCTCCTGGAACTCGGTCGCTTCCTTCAGCGCGATCTCCAGCTTGATCTTCTTGTCGTTGGCGCGGTTGGTGACGTGCTCCCAGCGCTGTTTCAGTGTCTTCAGGTTGTGCTTGAGGTTGGTGCTTGCGCCCTCCTTCGACTTCTTCATGTAGGTGTCGCCACGCGTGAGCACAGCGTCCACCTTGGAGCGATTCTGCTCCAGTTCGCCAAACAGCTCCATGAAGCGGTCCAGCTGCTCCTTGGCCGTCTCGGGCAAGCCTCCCACGGGCTTGCTGGTGGTGAGCGCGCCGTCCAGGTCGTTTAGCCAGAACAGCAGATCCTGGATCTCGTTCATGAAGTCCTGGGCGTCACGCAGCGCGTTCTCCAGCTCGCGCTGCTTGCCGGCCGTCTTCTCCTGCAGCTCGGCCCAGCGGTCGTTGAGCTGGTTCAGCTTGCGGTGTGTGGCGCTGGCGTCAGCCGAGTCGCGGTCGTCTTCGATCAGCTGGCGTCCGGCATCGTTCAGCGTGTCCACGGACGTCTGGTGCGCCTGGATGTCGTTCACCGTCACCTTCAGCTTGGCCAGCTCCACCTCGATCACCTGCGGGGCGCAGCACAGTCAGTGGAGCCCGCGCAGAGCTCAGGAACTTGCCCTGTACTGGATGTCAGAAGGCAGACCGAGTTGCCACGCGATGCCTGGTCACGACCCTCAGAATTTTGAGTAAATGCTGCCCCAGGCAATCTTACCACGCGACACAAACCACGCGACAGATGCAATTTACAGCAACTCTTCTCCGAGCACCTGTAATCCTTCCCTCAGCTCCGCAGCGATGTACTCACCATCGGTCACCGACAGCCCTACACCTCTGTCAAAGGTCGGGCTCTCGTGCCTGAGGGCGCCCGCCCCCCCTCTGACCCCATGGCGTACCTGCGGGTCGCCGAGCACCGGCCGCAGACCGTCCAGCGTCTTGTCGGTGCGCCCGATCCAAACGAGCAGCTCGTCCAGCGCGTGCTGGAACTGGCCGAGCCGCAGCAGGGCGTGGTCCAGCTCGCGTTGCCGCTCCACGATGCCCTTGAGCAGATCGTCCCAGCGCGTGTTGATGTCGGAGAGCGGCTGCTTGAGCGCGGCCGCCTGATCCGGCGACGTGCGCTCCATCAGCTCCTGCGCCTGTCTGCAGGCGGCAGGCGGAGGAGCGGTCAGTGTCAGGCGCACCCCGCCAGGCGACGGCGGCGCCGTCAGGCGGGCGCCGCCCGATCTGGTCTGCTCAGGTCTGGGGACTCTCATAGAGATAAAGGCCTTTCAGTTTAGTTCCCGTTGCACCACGACACTTACTGACTTTAGAACAATCTTTTCCATGATCGCAGAAGGTTTACAGCACCGAACACGCGGAAAACAAATCCGGGCATGCAATTCTCTGCCATGCGATTCAACTGCATAATTCGGTGTCATCCCGAACATACCGTGATGGTAAAACTGAACGTACCGCAGCACGAAAATATCACTAGGGTGACTGGTCTGCTGTTAACACGCACACCGTGCAGACTGGGCGGGCTAGTACCCTACCTGTATGCTATAGAACGTCCACTTCAGCTCTTTCCGCTACGCACACAAAAACCACGATGCCGTGCCTTCAAAGAGATCGCGGCAAGCTAGCACAAAAAGTAATGCGACTTCAAAACCAAACGGAAATCGCAGCCTGTGGCGAAGTCCATGCGGCCTCACCGTACAGAAAAAACCCGGCTAGGACCCATCCATTTATGATGGAGCATGCTAGAACCCAGCCGTCACCGTTTGCGGACGGTTGGGCTATGACGACAACCCCACGCTGCAACGGTGCATGCCAGGTTCACTCGGCGCGCTAGCACTGAGCCAATGATAAGGCCTGTGGTTATCGCATCG